ACAGTATTCTTGGTTGAAAGTTGTGTTCTTTAAGTGTTCGATAGATGCCATTCCACTGTCTTCTTGCTCTCATGGTTTCTGCTGAGAAATCAGCACTTAATCTTAGCTGTTCTCCCTTATAGATTACTTTTTGTTTCTCTCTCGTTGTTTTTAGTATTTTCTCCTTATCTTTGGTTTTATCAAATTTGACAATGATATGCCTTGGTGTTTTTAGTTTAGGGTCTATTTTATATGGCGTTCTCTCAGCTTCTTGAATATATATTCTGTCATTCTTCATTATGCCTGGAAAGTTTTCCTCTAGTAATTCTTCCACAACTTTTTCAGTGCCTTTACTTGCTTCTTCCCGTTCTGGGATTCCAATGATGTGGATGTTATGTCTTTTAATGGTTTCCCACATTATTCTTAAGTTTTCTTCTGTTTCCTTTTTTTTTTCTTCTGCTTTTTTCTTGGTTATATCTGTGGTGACAATTCTATCTTCTATTTCACTAATTCTATTTTCCATCTCTTCACCTCTATTTGTATGTCCCTCCATCATGTTGACAACATCAGAAAACGTAAATTTCATATTTTCAATTATGATTTCTTGTTTTTTCCAGTGCCTCTAATGCCTCATTTGTTTTCTTTGTGTTGTTTTGGATTTTTTTTTTTTAAGTTCCTCCTGATTTTTTACTATAGTGCCCTGTAATTCTTCAAGTTTGTTTTTCATCCATTGAAAACATTCAATCATCTTTTTTTAAATTCTGGATCAGAAAGTTCCTTCAGACTTTCCAGCTTCATGAAATCCATTGCTACTGTGTCATTTTTTTGGGGAGATATCTTGTTTTGGGCTTGAGTGGTGAGTGAGGTACCCTGCTTCTTTCGAGACATTGAAGTGGAAGAGTTTTTGAAAACGAAGGTGATAGTTGGTTCTTGGTTTGATGTCACTACTTCTCTATCGAGATGTCCAGTACCTCCCTTTTGCTTAAGTTGGTGGGACCAATGTGGTAGGGCCAAACAGCAGTTTGTAGTTAAAAGAAACTAAATCTTCAATACTGGAAACTTTTTCAAATGAGGTTGAAAAGTGCTATAAATTTGGTCTATGTGTTTTTGTTCTTTTGTGTGGGTTTTTGTTTTGTTTTGTTTTTGTTTTCTTTAAGTCAGCCCTAGGGCACCAAAGTTCAGAGCTGGTGGCGGGGTCACGGACTGGGGTGGGGGAAGCAATGCGGTACCTGGAGATGTGGGTCAAAGGTG